GGAGAGTACGCTGGATGCGGGAGAACTTCCCATTCAAGCTCTAGAAGTGCCTGCTTCACGCTTTTCGCGACATGCGTTCGAGTGTTATCACGCAACAAAATGACTTTGCATCGATTGTTGGCTACGGATGATCTTTTTTGCATCAATTCGTCACTCAATCGGCCTTTGGAGTAACATTTAACTGTTTCGACAACTCTAAAAGCGTTTGAGCTGGATTCTCATCAAGCAATTCTTGCAGCTCGATATTTTCAAATTTTTTCGTCTCTCCTGGACGTTCTTTGTCTCTCACATCAAAATCACCGTTTCGGAAGCGTTCAAACCAAACTCTACATGTTCTTTCCGATGGAGTTTCATCACCATACACTTCGGATAATAAGCGATGCGCTTCAGCTGCGGTTTTCTTGAGGTCGAAGAAGCACATGTCGGAAAAACTGCTTATCGCGATTCATTTTCAATCGATTGGAAAATCTCTTTGTCGTCGAGAAATTTAACCTATGAGGATTGAATCACTTTCAGCGATGTCTAAACTACAAAAGACATGTGACTTCATCGTCGAAACTCGTCAGCGTTGGAGGCAGAGCTCTCTAGTAGCGAGCGATAGGAATTAAGTTAACACCTAATAGCTCGTCGCCGGCACATGCTCGGAGTTTCTACCCTCTCTTGGGTCCGCTAAATAGGACCCGGAGGCCATCCCACTACTCGCTTCCCGCGAGATGTGGAGGATTGCAGGCCGGGTCTCCTGGCGTGTCTGTTTCGGGCCGGCGGGCGGTCGATCAGCCTTTTAGCACCGTGAGGCGTAGAACAGGGGATCTGCGCCTCCTTGCAACGGTGCGACGGGCATGGCGGCAGAGGGACGTGGTGTCCCCCCTCTGCTGTTTTAATTAGGTTTGGTGGCACACCAGGGGGTCTATTCTTGAAAAGAAATGTATACGAAAGTCTAGCGAAATACTATAGTGTTACGTCCGGGAGGACTCCACGATTTCCTCGTTTCGAGATTACTTAATAGGGTAATCGTTGAGACAGGATGTAAGAGAAAACGCGAGAGTTAACGGTCACCGATCGGCGAGCGTGACAATATGTAGAAAATA